GGAACTTATCAGTACCGGAAGTTTCGCGCACGTTGATCATATCGAATCCCCATTCTTGCATAAAACAAAAATATTACATGCGACTGCTTCACGCATACTCGATGGCCATGGCCCACTGTCCATCCGAACGTCTGGTGTGGATGGCAGCAATGCCCGACCTCCCCACTGTGACCTTGTAATCAACAAGGATATACCCAGCGCCCGAACCATTGTCTGTCCCCAACAACATACAAACAGCATCCATCCCGGCGCGGCCCTTAGTCGGATCCCACTTGACCCAGTCGGTGTCGTCCTGGTATATCTGCTTTTCCATCTTGGCGTCCCGGTACAGTTTCTCCAGCACGGCCATTGTCACCGGGTTCAGAACGTGGAATCGCCGAACGTACTTCAGGTCCTTGGGCCCCGCCTTCTCTCTGTATTCTTTGTACAGCTCCATGGCAATAACGTCCCAATTGACCTGGGCGGATGCCGGCTTCACCGGGTCCTGACTCTTGAATGATGCGACGGCGACTATCAATCCAGGCGCAAAGACAAGCTCGTACGCCCCTATGTCGCCGGTGTCACGCTCCTTCAGTGTGGCAGGAAGGCCGGGGAAGAGAGGATTCTCCAATTCGGCCCCGTCGAGCGTCGCTCTGTTCAAGGTGGACATGATCTGGTTCCCGAGGTCGTAGTCTTCCGGGTCAGGCTTAGTGGTTATGTCGTACTTCCCGGTGAAGTACGGCGGGTATGACGCGAGGTATTTGTCGGTTGTTGTCGCGCGGGGGGTGTCCGCCTTGGCTGTTAGGATCCTGTCCCATATCGCGCGGCCCTTCTGCAAACATTCATCCGGATTCTGGGGCAACTCTGGGAACGGCTCGGGCGAGATGAGACCGAGCACCTGCTGAGCTGCTGCGCTGTATGGCGTATCTGGTTCAAGGATAGCTGTGGTACTATTCTCCTGGGAAGGACGTGACTCCTCCGGAACAGCCAAGGCAATTGAGGCTCACCTCGAGTGCAGCAGCCGGCACGCCCGATATAATCCCGGTGAGCACTACTACTAGGGCAGCGATCCGCATCTTGGAGTTAATTCAGAAGCGAGGTAGGGTGATTTGGTTCAAAGACGATTAGGTCCAGCAAAATAGGCGTAAATCCCGATGGATGGAAAGATCAGGGCCAGCACGGTGGGCCTTATACGGTCCCCAAATGCTTACCGCTTATTCTCGCCACTGTATTTGACGGAATGCATGATACCAGGACGTCGCACGTATGATTCGGGAATCATGCCTACGTCACCGGCACTCTGAACCTCCGAAGTCGAAAGCCCGAATGATTTTAAAGACCTTGGCCGCAGGCGGCATGTCAAAGAGTCTGTCGGCTGGCGTTGTATCTCCGATGTCGTTGTGAGTAATCCAATGAGCCGAAGCCGGCAGGAGCCGGAGAACGAGGAGTTGGATGCCAGGAAGCCTGTCGGGGGATTTCTACGATGTAGGGGAAATCAAAGCCCCGGTCTTCCGTGCAGCCAATACACCGATGGAATCCGCCCCATCTCTGGTATTTCACCAAGTGGTCGAGTTGGTGTACGCGCCGAGCCGCTCGCACAGCGCCAGCGCGGACCCCGCGAAAGCGCGAACGGTGCCGTCTGCAGGCGGTAATTTCTCGCCTGCTGAGGAGGCGCATTTTGCGCGCGCACTCGACGGCGGAGCTGCGCACGTTCCACTGTGAGCGCGTGCGCAAGATGCCGTTGATGGGGCTCGAGCCGAGCATGCCTATTGAATTCGTGTGCCGGGATGAGACGGAGCGGATAATCTGAGACGGCAGGTTTCTGAGGTGCGTTTCTTTCATCCGTCTTCCTTCATTTTCGTCCCCTTCCTCATTGCCTGTGCAATCCTTTCCCCCCTTCATCCTTCGCGTCCTTGGCCTCGCACGCCCATCATTCTCGCCGTCTTTCTTTCCAGTCCTAGAACTGGCGTCCGATGAGTGAGCCGGCATATTGCATTATATAATTCGCCCGGATCGCATGGATGGAGAGCCCGTCAGTCGAGGTGGATTGAAGTCGAACGAAATATAACTTCTTCTGGTCGTCAGACCATGGTGTAAGTGAAATATGCTAAATGTACTTCACAACTCCGAGGAGGATGGTGTGCAAGATTTCCAGCGGGGTACGTATACCGGGATACTTCCTGGAGACCGGCGTTCCTAAGCGGGACCGGCCGTGTAATTCCACCAGCGTACCTACCTACCGCAGTGTTCACCCGAAGGCCTTCAAATTCAGGTCTCCAGATTGTGAAGGCCTTCTGAAGGGTGAAGGCTTCAGCGTGAAGGGTACGCGAAGGGGTTCATTTGATTTTCCCACGCTGTTTGACACAGCCGTTTCGACAAGTCCAATTCAATAAATTACGCATGATACTCGTCCTCGAAATCTATCTCTATGGTCCCATCGTCGGGGACATCGTCCTCCAACTCTTCTGCCAGTGGCTGCATCAGCAGCTCCTGTGCTTGCGTCACGATGTCAGCCAGCGGCGCACCCGGCACCGACACTTTGCATCTGGTTTTTGACACAGGCCTTGCAGTAGCTCTTGTAGTAGCTTGTATTCTGTTTCTCACCCCGCCAGAAGTGATCCTGCAACGAGTTTTGCATGACTTGGCGCAAATTTTCGAAAATTACATAATACATACACGTGATATCTGAAGGCCTTCGGAACGGCGCGAAAATCTGCCGAAAATTCTGAAGGCCTTCATGAAGGCCTCCCGAAGGCCTTCAGGGTCTGAAGGCTTCACCGTTCAGGCGAACACTGGCCTACCGTGCCGCCCAATGCCAGGTTGAAAACAGAGGCCCAAAAACTAACCAGCTGAGGTTGCTTTGAGTTGATTCGTGTCTGGGTGTCCAGTTGGAATCCGATGCTGCACTCCTCGTAGTGAGAAAAGAGTATGATTTATCCATGTGGGTAAGTGGAGAAACAAGGCCCGGTGGCGCACGGCCCGCACCTGCATACCTTGCCCACGGTTTCAGCGGGAGATGATGCTTGTTCGATTCGAGCCCGGGCCATATAGCGCGGAGGAGGTTTCCTTTTCTTTTGTAACCGCTATATATCCCCCAATCAGTTCTGAGTCGCGGCGGCGAATCATCTGCTTCACAGTCCCGCATCAGCTTCATTCCAAATTATTCCCACACTGTGCGACTACCTCTGTACTCTAACTAATTTAATACGCAACCGTACTCGCCACCCCCTCCAAATAGGCGTTTCATGACGCCCTCCCAATCAAATCATTGTACCACCGCGCGACGTTGGGCCTCGCTGGGGCGCTCATGACGTCGACGCCGCCCGCAGCGAGGAGTGGCGCATAGGGGACGTGGAAGAGGTCGGCGAGGAGTAGGGACTGCAAGGCACGTTAGCGTAATTCATTACGCATGAGGAGGGAGGGGAGGCGCAGAGGGGAGGAGCAGAGGTGGGAGAAATGGAAGGAAGAGAAGAGGGACGCACATCACCCGCGAGGTAACGCGTCTTGCTCAGGATCGCGTCATACGCGTCCAACTTCTTCTCGAGGACCGCGAGCGCCTCTGCGACAACAGCCGCGTCGGTTGGGATTTGGCGGAACATCCCGTGTGCCCGACGTCAACATGAATCTCTTCACTTCAGTCCGGAAAAGAGGAGGGAGGGACGCACGGCTTCAGCACAGTCTCGAACACGATCTTGCTCGCGCTCGGGTCGAAGTTTGTCAGCTCCACCGCCGCCGCCTGCTCGAACAGCGCGTGCGCCTTCGCGTCCTTCAGGATAAGCCCGACGGAGTGTTTGGCGGCGATGTAGCGGCAGATCGCGCGCGTCTCGTAGAGAATGAAGCCGTCGTCGTCCTGTGCGGCGCGGGTATTATGAGCAACAACGCGAAGAAGTAAGGAGGAACGAGGAGGAGCAAGGAGGGAGGACGGGGGGAGGAGGAGGGAAGACGCACGATGTACGGGATCTGACCGAACGGCTGCTTCTCGAGGAAGGCAGGGCTCTTGTGCTCGCCGTGCGCCATGTCGACCTCGATGAGCTCGAACGGGACCTTGCGCTCGTGAAGGATCGTCGCTACGCGCCGCGTGCACGTTCCCGACGCGTTGAATTGCCAAAACTTCATGCAGTTGCTGCACAGAAATTCGGAACCGAGGTGATTTCGACCCCGACCCCACTCACAGACCTTCCGGCCGAGCGAACCGACTAAGCCATTCATTTACCCCCCTCCCCTGCGCTCAGAACTCGCTTTAGCGCATCTATTGTTGTCACCCAGCTTACACCGCGAACCGAGGTGATTTCACCCCGACCCCACTCACAGACCTTCCGGCCGAGCGAACCGACTAAGCCATTCATTTACCCCCCTCCCCTGCGCTCAGAACTCGCTTTAGCGCATCTATTGTTGTCACCCAGCTTACACCGCCACTTCAAGTTGGTCAGCGAGCCTCTTAATCAATCCGCGTGTTCGTTGGTCAGCGTCAGCCGGGAAGCCCATAGCATCTCTTGATGGCTCGCCCTGATCCGCCGAGAACCTGCTATTCCGCGGTTGTAGGGATGTTGAGCCGCTATTTATTGAGCCGTCGCACGGCGCACTGCAAAACTCATCAGCTGTGAAACTTGACCAAAAATATCGGGAGGTATCGAGGGAAGTCAGTAGTAGACAAAGGCCCGGTAGCGGAGGGTCCGCGCCTGTATAAAATTGTCTTGATATATTGCAAGGAACAGCTCGTTCAATTCGAGCCCAGGCCATTATTTGGCCGCGTCGTTTTGTTATCCGCCCATTTTTGTGCGTGGGGTCATTCTGGGCGGTTTATTGAGCGTCGCGAGGATGGGGAATAAGGTCCGGTAGGAGCTGGTCGGCGCCTGTATCAAATCAAATTATGTGACGAGCATTCTGCAGGAACCGCTTGTTCAATTCGAGCCCGGGCCATGCTGAAGGACTATCGTATTTTCCCCCACCGGTGAATGCAACTCAAATTATTGCACCTATCAATGAGTGTTATTGGGCCCTTGCGTGCACATTCAAAAGGAGGTCCGGTAGCGGATGGTCCGCACCTGCATACAATTAACAGCCATGATTATTCTGCAGGACCCGCTCGTTCGACTCCAGCCCGGGCCACTGTTCGAACCGAGCGAGTGCGCTGCCGGTAACAGGGATGGAGATATTCACCTCTTCCACCGCTCGCAGTGCGCTACAGCCGATTTGAGGAGCACCTCCGCACAAACAGAATCCGTCGATGTGAACGCGCAAGTGAGCTGCTGCTGCTGCGACCGCGGAAGCCAGAGGCGAAACAGCTAGACAGAAGCCATGGCGTTAACTCGTCCCAAGAAAGATGCGGATCGCCAGAGGACCGACGTATTCAGGACGGTCTCTCGCCAGCGACGACAAATCTGGGATAGCAGTAGCGGTGGGGAATGGGGTGTTGGCCAGGGTGTTCGGATTGGTTGGTCAGGGAGGCAGTGGATAAATATCTTTGCGAGTATCTTTGCGGTCCGGGAGAGTAGGGGATACACAATCGAGTCTGCGATGGCTCCGAGGCGATCCTGCTCGGCGGTGATGTCATTTATCGCTGTATCCTTTCGATGGATACAAACCACTACGTCCGGTGGAGGGTTCACTGAGCGCGACCAGATTTCCTGCGATCTCGCGGGCACATCCACGGTGATCGTGTCGCTATGGGCGACAGAGATATGCATCTCGAGACCATCCGCTGCTAGCGCCGGAAAGCCGGATAAGACTGCAACTTTCGGCTTTTCGCGGCTCTGTGGGAGCAAGAGCTCGAACTGCTCGGATTCGCGGCCGAGTGCGAAGTGCACGACGGAGGCAGGGAAAATATTAAGGAACAGGCTGCCGGAGAATGAGGAGACATAACCAAGGAGACGTGGGTAGAAGAACACGAGGAGCGCAACAGGAAGTGTTGAATGGTGGGGATGTCGACGGAATTGACGGCGTGAAGTGTGAATTCCAGCAGCCCAGGAGCAATGAGGTAGCGTTGGACGGCACAGAAGTTGTCGGTTTTTAGCGAATGCAAGGAGGGGAGAGTTGCGGGGTCGGGGATAGTGGCCGTTGCGGGAGAGCGGATCCCAATGGACAGAGATACCAGTTCCTGGATTGAATACAGGGGTCCAAGATGACATCTTGAATTCATGCTTTTGGACAGTGGAATGAGAAACAGAACAGAATCACTTACGTTATGGATGTGGACGCGTTTCCCACAACAAAATGACCATACTCGGGCTCGACGTACCTGACAGTATGATTCCCACCGCACAACAATTGGGAGCTAACGCTACGACAACTATCCAATGGGTAGGGTTTTGCGGAGGTGTTCACGAGGAAACTGGGAGCGCCAGTGTATCATTTTGAAAATGACTAAACTACCCATTCCTGATATACCGACAGGGATTTAGCGGTCCCGCGTCGGTGTGAACGCGTCCAGTAGCGCGCGAGGGTTCTAACAAATTCTACAGAAGGAACTCAGTTCCATATTATCGGGGTCGGCTAATCCGAAACGCAGCATCCGCAGGAGCTGCGTTGGCAAGGAATGACTGTCGTCGTGGACAAAGACACACTCACACGCCCGTTGCCGCTGATAGGGTGTGCATCCGTGCACCCCTGAAATTACTGCTTTTGCATGTTTCCAGCCTTATGGCGGGGAGGCGTAAGACACACAGGGTGCTAGCTACATTCCCGGAACTGAGCACTAAAAGCCGTTAGCAGTGCTGCAAACTAGTGATAAACCAAGGAGACCGAGGATGCCATTGCGGCTTTCATACAAAGCTAGAGATTGCGACTCGGACTCAACCCCACTGGCTAGCCATAGGACTCATCCGGCAAGCTGTACTTTTGTGCAGTAAGCTCGATGTCAATATGGGCACGAGGCAACCAAGGGACATTGGAAGGATAACAAGAAAGCTATTTGATTTGGAACCTACAAAGTGCTACATGTGCCACCAGAATAATAGTATTTGGCTTGCGAGTTGAACTCAAAAGATGTGCCCGCCAATGGAATAATGGCGGAGGGGAGAAATGAACCAGTTATGTCACATGACAATGCTCAAGTCTGCGCCAGTCCGAAGTTACGCCAAATGAAGTCACGCCACAACTGTAAAAAGATATAATGTGCGAGCACGCCACTTGAACTTGGCGGAGAGGCTACGCCACTTGAACTTGGCGGAGAGGCTACGCCACTTGAACTTGGCGCAGAGGCTACGCCACTTGAACTTGGCGGAGAGGCTACGCCACTTGAACTTGGCGCAGAGGCTACGCCACCTGTAATAGACCGGCCCTAAAGCAATCACATGACTTCATCCAAAAGCAGTTGGTGGTCACTGAACTTGGGTGCCAAGAGATAATAAAAGGCTCAGTCAGCCCATCAACTAATCAGACTGCGGAGGACTGCGGACGCTCCTAACCGAGTCTACGCGAGGAGATTGTAAGCAGAGGTGGCTTAAACAGAACTTGCGGGTGATTGGCGGCCACACCATCAAATAATACCCGGGCAGACACCTCTAAGTCTGCCCAACTACCAGGATATATCTCGCTTCAGCTCAGTTCATCATTTTGTAAAGACCGCTTATCATTCTCTTAGTTAGTTGGGATCAATCCCTCTCATAGTATAAAAGCCGCATGTAAATTAGTAGTTAGACAGTGAATAACTCCCCCCTTAATGGCACCTAGCTCTTAGCAGCTTATAAGGCCTCTGGTCCTTATCCCGTTTGACGCACACACTCCCTTGGCGTAAGCCTGAGTTGTCCCTCCGTCTTCGGCCCCCGCCACTTTGTTCAGTCGCAAAGCTATTTGTAGCCGCGCTGTTCATACGCCAAAGTCCATTCCTATCGGGGTTGCTGTGTGGCGGAAACCAACTATCGGCGTACGGAACGTCCTTGAGTTGCTCTGCGCCATCGGCATCCATCTTGTTCAGTTGCAGAGCTATTCATAGCCGCGCTGTTCATTGACAATCGTGGTTGATTCAAAACACTGAGGTCGGGACCACGACCTCCCATAAAAGCCGTTACTGTTTGGGTCTCTGTGTGGTGGAAACCAGCTGGTGGCGTACGGAACGTCATTGAGTTGCTCTGCGCCATCGGAACCCACGCCATTCGGCTTGCGCCACTACTCTGTAGTCGCGCCACACACAAAGGAATTATCTTGAGCTCCAGGAAAAACCTTACCATTTGGCGGAACCATCTCCTGGCGTACGGAACGTCTTGAGTTGCCCCTCCGCCACTTGTAAAATCAGTCAGCTACCCAGCGGTGCTGTCCTTCGCCAAAATCCCAATTTAATTGCGGTTTTGTGCACCACTAGTAGAATATCTACACCTGTTGCCGAAAGGCTGTTAAACCTGTTGAAAGCCCTTCTGAGGACCTTTCCAAAGCAAACCAGTGTCACACTATTGAAATTGACGGTCGATACGCCTGACCTACCCCCTCGAACATAAATACGCTAAAGCAGGAGTTGGTTGTTGTTAGTTGTTGGAGTTTGGTGTTGGGTTGAGTTAAGACTGAGGTCTTACTCATTTAGCATTAGATTTCACGGCTGCACGCCACTGCACCGTTTCACCGCACACACTCAATTGAAGTTACCGCGCTGTAGAAGGCATAGTGAGCGAAGGAATGCGCACTGATCAACAGGCACTACAGACTGGTCTGAGGGATGCTACGTCGCTAGCGAGGCGCCTGCGTGTGAGTAAAGTTGTAGATATCCTAGTTTGAGAAGCGAGGGGGTAAGATACTATGCAGGGAAGATATCAGTATCGAGGGTGGTATTTAAAGCTTTCATGCGCACCATACTCAAATCCCAAACTAGAATTCAGCGTGGGGGCACGGATGTATGCTGGGATAGTGCACAAATGCCTGGGTGAGAATTTTGCGGAGAGAAAAGAATAGGAGGAAATGTATCGACCTTTCCAATCGCGGCAGTGTGCGGACGCGGCGAGGGTGATGTGGAAGGTTGTTGTACAGTTTGAGAAGACGCACGCGGACGCCTGCCGTGGTCGAGGATGGGAGCGCGCCCGAGGACGCGGGACGGCACGGAATGAGGGGGACCGCTTGAAAGAAATGCGAGTGCGGGGCGCAGCAGTGAGTGCGACGGGAGGTGGAGAGCACAGTCTGGGAGGCGGCGAGATCGAATGGGACGGTGCGGGAGGGAGTGGAATGCTCGGACGCGGCGCCGGCGCAGCGGTTAGGGGAGCCGCGACGACGGTGTGTACTACGCTGAATGCGACATCACGGGTGGACGCACGGGGGGTGTGCGAGAGGAAGCGACATGCAGGAAACGTAGTAGCGGAGGGGCGAAGCGGGGCATTAGGATACAGTACGGCGCGCGCGTGGGACGGGAAGTGGGTGGCGGGCGTCGGAAGAGAGCCGTGTGGCGACGTGAGGACGGGGGAGACTTTCTATTGAAACTGAAGGTAAGCGTCAACGGGGCGATGTGCAATGTCCACGGTACGTGAGATGGGCGCGAAAGCTTTGCGCGCGGATGTCATCGGCGGGGTGAGGCATGCAAGGGTAGCAGGAGAAGGACTAGCGTTATGCGCGGTGGATGAGGCGTAGGTAGAGCGATGTGACGGTGTGCGGATGTCGAATGGGACGGAGGCGGATTAGTCGTGGGCGTAAGAGGATTAGGAATATGCCACCGGGTTGGCGCAGTGGATAGCGGACGGGCGGGGCGAAGCGTAGACATCTCCCATCAAATCCTTCCTCATATGAATTTCATTTCCGCCATTCGGCTCTTCTCCCAAACCTCCCCGGCGCGCATTAACCCACAACTGGCCCAGCTAAGTTGAACTAGAACTAAGCGAGCTCCCGTATTTTCTAGCATGAAAAATTAGGCTTGTGGCCCTGATCTTTGGGGAATACGGAAGGGAAGAGAAATCAAGGGAGTCACCTCTTCGGGCCGGTTCGTTTGCGTAAAATATTAGGTGACCACCTCAAAGCTATATAAATTTCCCGGAATTCCGGCGACGTGTACTAGTGGTGAAGAAGAAGGATGCGCTCCTCTCTGGGACCGAGGTGGTGTCCAGGTCGTGCCGGCGAAACACCGAGTCGTAGCGCCGATAACTTCCTCGCGTAAGCTCGAAGAAGACTCTAGGAGTATTAGAACAATCAGAATCAAA